GTTTTGCTAGTTAAAAAACACCTTCACAATCTAGAAAACACCTGTCTCTCCAGCCATACCGTACACAGGGCTGAGATCAGACTCACACAGGCCAGGGCTGAAGCTACACTCTGGAGCCTTTCCTTTCTCTCACTGATACATGTGAAAGAAGCTACTTCCCCTGCCATTATGGCCACCTGGATATCATGCTCAGATCACTGCGTCTCATTTACATCCTTCCATGTTGAATAGGGAAGATGCCCATCTCTGTCCTAAACACGACTGCATCACTTTATGCTGAGAAATTCTTTGAGGCCAAGATACACTCCTCTCTTTTTGTTTCGCCTGCACTTCCAGTTTTCAGCGTCTATGCAGATGAGAATACACTACAAACACGGATCAGTAAAGCTGTATGTCTTCCCAGGAAAAATATTGTATTATTGCTCCACCTAGAGGATAAAATTATACTTGCAGGGCTGATAGAAATGTATTCTTCTAAAGAGCTTTCTTCTGCAAAAGCTTGCACAGTAACATTACTATACGTAATTGCACATTTCCTGAAATGACCCACATTTCACATCAGAGGCACTTCAGAACCAGCTGTTTCATTAAAGTCAACGACACCAGGGTTTCCAGGATCTGGACCAGGACTGCTGGGTTTAGCTCAAGTTCTTGGCTACAGAAAGGTTTGTTCCGACTGGGACACCTCATATTTCAAAATTTTATATAACAAAATCTTTCAAAGCTGTACTACAGAACAACATAGATCCAATAACCTTAAAGCATTTCCATTAAAATGGACAACAGCATGCAGCAATTTAATGTTGTGGCAAAATGCTTTGACTTAAAATTTCCCACTTACTAAATTACACAAACTGGAACACTTTGACTGCTCTCTCCAAGTCCCAAACCATTTGAGTCACTTTTCAATCTTTTATCACGGGCACGGTTCACATGGTGCGCACAGAGAAAAAAAGCTCATTCATGTGTGGATAAGCACTCCACACCTCAGAATTACAATTAAAAAAAAGGTTAGGCTATTTTCTTCATAAAAAGAAAAAAAAAAGGTTTATTCAGACTGTAACAACATATAATTATACAGTATTATAAATATTTACAGTTGTATTTACATATCAAACAGCTCATATTCAGACATTTCAAAGATGCAGGGGATTAGCCAGTCCATCATGCCTTCTCAAAAGAGAACATGCCACAGCTGAACCGGTTCCAATTCCCCTTATAAATCTAAAACTGTAAAAATTAATTGTTCGATAAAACGCGACGCTCTTTCACATTTTAAACATACCCGTTGTAACATTTGTAACTTTTGGCAGTCGGGAAATTTGATTTAAACTGCACCCTCCCCAGGGGCAGCCCAGTTAGCAATGGGAAGAAACATTAAAACTTCAAGTCAATTTTTTCTTAAAAATAAAATGATTGTTCCCCCACTATAAAAATGTGTGCAGACGCTTTTGTGCATTACCGCTTCAAAATAAACATTTTTTTTTTTACCCATAGGGAGCAATGTCTAGTGGAATGCATAGAAATAATTTAAAAAGAGTTCATTCACACAAATGCGTAAAAGGGGCAGATCAGAGCCTCTTCAGGTTCTTCTTGCTCCTGCTGCTGCCCGGGAGCAGTGTGGTTTTCTCCCTGGCCTGGCCCCTTTTCCCAGTCCTGCAGCTCTGCGAGCCGTGGTATGCGCACAGGCAGCTGGTGCAGAAGTCAAAGCCGCAGCTGGCCCGGGTGCAGGTGGCTCTGCGCAGGTAGGAGTCGAACTTGGCCGGGGAGCCGCAGTGCGAGCAGGGCTTCAGGGCTTCGTGCTGCTTCAATGCGTCTGCTGCCTGTGGAGAGAAGAATCGCACGCCACCTTATCATCTGAATCACAGCACGGTCGACGTTCTGCACGATCGTGCCAAGACTCGCTCTCTGACATCCGGGTGGTGGGGTGGCTCTGTGGCTCAGCATCCGAGCCGGTTCGTATCCCGAGGCCGGCAGAGGAATCCTACTCCGTTGGGCCCCTGAGCAAGGCCCTTCACCCCAACTGCTCCAGGGGCGCCGTATAAATGGCTGACCCTGCGCTCTGACCCCAGGCTTCTCTCCCTGGCTGTGTGTCTCAGGGAGAGCAAGCTGGGGTATGCAAAAAGACAAATTCCCAATACAAGAAATTGCATCTGGCCAATAAAGTGATCTTATCATCCTTTGTGATAAGATGCACTGCTGTCAATTTTCTGTTTTTACACATGATCCCTGGGATACAGTGTTACAGAAAACATGCTTGGATACTGCTTTTGCTGTGCACGACAAAGATACTTTCTTATCTAGAGAGTTGATAATGTTTTATACATGCTACAGTTAAATGAACCCAATTCCCATATTGAATATTTCATATTCAATACAGTATTGGCGCCTTCGGACATGTGGCGTTGCTTTCACCCAGGGCATGGAAAAAATAACGCACATGTCCCTTCTACATCATTACAGCCCCTGGTTTTGACAGTGTCCTGCTTTCAACACCGTACTTATCAAGACATCACCCATCGGCATTAAGGACCAAGCGCAGATACAGTCTGCAACATGGGAGGAACCTACACTGGCTTCAAAGGCCTACTTTGAAAAGAATTGGCTCCAAAAAGCAAAACAAAAGTGAGCTTTGGGTGGTTTTAGAATCAGCATTCTTCACTATTAAATAAGATAAGATCCCTTTATTGGCCATATACAATTTCTTGTATTGGGAATTCATCTTTTCGCATACCCCAGCTTGCTCTCCATGAGACACACAGACGGGGAGAGAAGCTTGGGGTCAGAGCGCAGGGTCGGCCATTTATACGGCGCCCCTGGAGGAGTTGGGGTGAAGGGCCTGGCTCAGGGGCCCGATGGAGTAGGATTCCTCTGCCGGCCGCGGGATTTGAACCGGCAACCTTCCAGCCACAGGCGCAGATCCTGAGCCACAGAGCCACCGCTGTCCCCCACAGCCACAGCAGAGGCTATCCCAGAACCCCTGGAGTGAGGTGAAGGCCGCACGCGGCGCCACCCTGGCCTGGTGTGCCGAGATTCACCCCCCCCCAGACGCCCGTGACCCCGTCACGCCTGCGCGTTCCCTGGCACAAACTCGCCCGTACCTGCTGGAACTCGGTGTGCCGGCTGGGCCCACACTCCTTCCTCCTGGGTGGCTTGTGGACGGGAGTAGAGGCCGCAACCTGGAGGCAAGACAGGACCTCTCTGGAAAAGGCGAAGTCCCTCGTGGTGAAATCCCCAGACGTTTCTGCATCCTAAGGCGGGGTAAAGAAAAAATGAGCTCAATCTCTCCCGAGCACCTAGCAACACATAACCAGCAAGTTGCTGTCGGCCGAAGATCTTGGGATTACAAATAACTGCTTTTACCCTCACAGCACAGTTCTCTAGAAAAACAAACATATAGGAGGATCAGCCCTGTATTTTAACACCCAAATGCCAAAAGACTTCAAACAAAAAAGTAAAAATATGCCAGAATTTATTGACCAGTCCCTTTCCACCGGCTGTGCCAAATTCAAAGTGTGATGTTAGGCCATGCGTCTGCTCTGTGTGGTGTTGGCTGAAGAGTAAGAGGCTCTCCTAACTAATCAATTATCAAGGATCCCATTGCACTGGTTGTAAGAGCCAAGTATCCAAGTGCTAAGGTATTCATGTGCCCCGGATAAAAAGCTCTTTGGGCACATCCAGTCTTAATTCAACTGGCAAACCGAGATCGTGCTTCTCCACCCAGTCAGCTGAGCAATGAGACTGCCCTTCCTCCCCTATGCCCGACACTCTGGCATGCTCTGGGACGTAACGCTCGGAATATTACCTTTTTATCCGTTTTGCACATCTGGAAGGCCCACTTGTCTTCACAGATGACTCTCCGCCACGTTTTACTCACTTTTTGACAGCTGTCGATGTAAAGGAAGGAAAAAAAAGACATGAGCATCACGGACAGCACATGAAGAGAACCTTAACCTTTCTGGAATAACTCTGGAGGGATATTCAATGTACACAATGGCACAATGTCACTGATCGAGGAATGGTTTCGACTACTCCCAATCTAATGGGGTCCCCAGACCTCTTTCTCTCTACGCCCACATTTAGAACCCCTCATCGCTCCCCACTGCTTTCCATATCAATCTTATATTGATGCTCAGATTGGCTTCTCTTTTCCTCCAACCGTTCACATCACCAACGATGCATCCACGCTAATTGTGAACATAAATAAAATACAAACAAGTGGCGGGGTCTTTGGGCTCATCTAGCTCATTGGGCTAATAGTGGATAATTAATTACAGAATCACATACAGCCACTTCCTAAAAGAAGCCAGGGTACTGGCTTCAATAACAGGTAGACCTCCCCAAAACCTTTTATGCCAAGAAAAGTTATTTCATTTTGTGTCCCAAGAGCATTGCATCTCCAGCCTTGAGCTGACCTTGCTTATACCCCGCACATAAAGTCAACAGGTCCATACCCTAACTCACCCTAAACAAGGGCATCTGCTGAGCAAACAAGTCAAATGAGAAACCGCATCACCGTGAATGACACTTACTTGATCAAATCCACATCCGTGAGAAAGCGTAAAATCTTGGCCAGGACGTGTCTCATGTCCCTCTCCAGTAATTCCTCGAAAATGTCCAGCTGCTCGACGCCCATCTTCCTCCCTACGACCCCCTGGAGTCGGAAGTCCTCTGCGACCTCTCCGACGACGCCCCAGTCGAATTTCTGGGTTCTCCTGTACCTCCTCCTCAACTCCTTGCAGACAGTCTGCTGGAAATGCAGCACCGGGAGCCCCAGCGCGACCGGGCTGGCCCCGCAGGGAGAGGCGGTCACAGACGGCGAGCACCGGGTGTGCTGGTGGTGCCTCCTGGGCACCTTCTGGTCATCGTCCGCGGCCCCGAGGCCGAGCTCCCCCTGCTCCGTCTGGCTGCTGTGCAGCGACAGATACCCGCTGTCCTCCTGGGAGACATTGCCGCTGAGGATGCAGTCGCTGTCGAAGTCCCTGCTGTCGGAGAGCTCGACGGCGAGCGAGGTCCTGCGGTTCTCCTTGTTGTGGACGCCCCTGAGGGGCTCTCGGAGCAGGACGGGGCTGGCTCCCGGGCCACCCGGGCGCTGGGGGTCAAAACACACCGGGGGCTCCTCTTTCAGGGGACGTTTCTCCCGGCAGAAGTCCGCGGTGCCGTGTCGCCCGTCGTCTTTCTCCGCGCTTCTCACGGGAGAGGGTTTCTGGAGGGGTGCGAAGGGGCACTTCATGTCTCCGGGACTCGGTTAAAATATCTGTAAAGTCAAAGAAACAATGAGGAGCGTTTAGTACTCAAGACTCTGGGACCTGGTGGGCAGCTTTGGCACCCGACTCGTGTCATGAAACTTCCTGCTACAATTTTGTTAAATCTCTGTTCAGTTTTGTTCCACCGTGTCAAGGGTACCTAGGTACTGTATGCAGTTTACAGGATTGTTAAATGTCTAAATAACGGCCTGCAAAATAAATTGCAACCCAATTGAAACGTGATGCATATAGGAACACAAACTGCCTTGTGGACTTTTATTGCTTGCTTTCGTATATGGACCCGTGCTCACGCCAGCCTGAAAATCACCACCCATCTTTCTTAGCAGTAGAAAGCGCGGATACTACCTCCTGCGATACAACAGCTACAGCAGTTTTCTATAGTTCCTTAAAAAACAAGCAGATTCAATGGTGACTATTAATCACTAATGCAGGGGGGTATTCTAGATGTCAAAAACAAACTTTAGAAAGTTGTCCGCGGAACGACCACCCCACCCCCAAGGTACGCGGTGGCGCCTCTACAGTATGCAAATACAGAGCCCTGTTGTTCAGGAGCTGGGGGGAAGTTAGGCCCATATTTCAGGATGTTTACCTCCAGATTGAATCTTACACTATCGTACTTGGATAAATCAAACATGGAAGATGGAAAATATCGATTCTGCATTTAAAACGCTTGAAGTAAAACAGCAAACGGTTGCATCCAGCCTTAATGCAGACAGAAACAAATTGATTTGCCGGGAGGCTGGGCAGACAATCTTTTTCCTTTTAATGGATTATTCCCGACACCGATCGCAATCGTCAACAATGGCATTATTCTTAATTATTGACCCTTTCACATCTGGAGTCCAACACATCGGATTTTTAGGCAGGAGGTGGCGCGCGATCGAGGGGCCTCCCACGGCACGGATTCGCGCGCGGACTGGACACGCTGCACCAATACCGCTAAAATACCGACGGAACCGGATCGCTACCGCCACGACACATAACCGCAGTACATAACGTTTTTTTTTTCCTTTGCTAAAAAAAAGGAACATTAATACGAAATTTTTTGAATCTGCAGAAAAAAAAAACAAGACCGAGAAGCGCCATTCAAACTCGGTAGCCGCTGGCAGCGCTTGCAAGAGCTCTCACAGTTCAGCAGCTCAATCTGCAGATAAAACTCGCGATTCGCCCAGAGGAAGGGAGACATATTTTACCTTCTTGTAGTGTTAAGAATTTACGCGTGATCCTTCCCCCTTCTCTACTCCAGATGCGGTACTCTCCCCAGGCTGCTGTGTTGTGGCACTACACTCGCCCCAGTTGCGCCTGCCGCCTGTTTCTTATCCAGTTTGAATTCCGTATCCAAAAAGACAGCAGCCAATCAGAATCGAGGGTGTGACTTTAAAGTGCCCCCTCGACCAATGGGGAGGGAGCCCGACTGGGCGCGCGTGGGTTTCCCGTCCTGCGTTTGACGACGTGACGCTGCGTGAGAAAGGGGGAGGGACTTCCTCCGGGCAGGGTCCACTGATCAAGCGCCAGAAGGACTGTGCTGCGAATTCCATTTTTCTTACAAGAGCCAGCACACCAAGGCGTCCGGCGTCACATAGGTTCAAATTGGTTCACCGGACAAGGGGGTTAAATTCAGACTTTAAAAAGATTTCGGGTTTTGATTTTTAAAGTTTCAGCACATATAAACTGATAAAACCAGGGCATTTATTTTTTGTAATAATCCTTATTTGGTAAAATATACATAGTAAAGCAAATACTAAGTCTCTCTTTCAAAATTGAAGATTTCATATTGTGAACCAACTGTACAGCTGGCATGCATTTAATCGAAGATAATCTAGAATTAAGTCTGTAAAATATTTTAGCATACATTAAAATAAATAACTATTTTTTTTAATAGTGTATTACAATGCTTTGTGTTTGTCACAATCAACTGGAAGACATTTGGCCCACCTAGCTTGTTTGCATGCTGATAGTTTGGTTTTTCATATAAGCCAAACTAGCACCACTCAAAAAAGCAACAGATACAAAAAATAAATGACTTTCAATTAGGCAAAAACTTTGAAAAAGTCCCATTACCACTGAAAAATAGCAGCTTATACTGAATGCCCATGAATGTGCAAGAAAAGAAACTATGCTGTCACATCAAAAATTAAGTTTAGTTTTAATTTGAGATGACTGCATTCAAAGGAGTTTTTAAAATGTATCCTTAACGTTCTTATGACTGAATAACCTTCCCATTTTGGTGGGAAAGACAAGATCACACACATTTCTGTAATTAAACAATTTCATTAATTTTTGACAGCATTTACAATTCCCGGAAGGAGGAATAAGTCTGAATGTGGAGCTGTGCCAATGTACAGGTTGCAAACCAACGAGCAGAGGTTGATTCTACCTTGAAATGGAAAGCAGAGTTCAGCTGTGGAGCTTTCTCCAGGGGTCAGGAATAAATTACACACATTCCCACTGCTCAATTAAAGCACAGCTTTATTTTATTACCAAACTAGCGAACAACATCAGCTCTCAGAGTTCATTTTCTTTCAGAATGTCCAAGAGAGATTCCTGCTCCGAAAAGTCCTGTAAAGATTGAATCACGTCATTGAGCTGTTCCTTCCCCAGCATGAAGCTCTTGATATCGTACACGGTTTTGCTAATCCTGTGGTCAGTCACCCTGTCCTGGGGGAAATTGTAGGTTCTAATCTTCTCAGATCTTCCCCTGGATCCAATCTGCCAAAATAGAAGCCATTTGTTTGTGTTTTCTTGGAAGAGTGTATATATATATATTTTCCTTCTGAGTGAATGAAGTAAACAGGAAAAATACAGTAAGTTCAGTGTTTGTTTCTACAGTGATCTGTTGTTGGCATTTCAGACAGCTGATACAGTAGTGGAATTAATTGCTGTGCCAGTTGTAGAACATGCAAGGAATTAAGCAGATGCCATACAGGATATTTTTTAAGCAGATCGACTAATGTTCCTCAAAAGTACGGCGTTCTGGACTCTGGATTGTGGATTGTCGAGCACCAGGAAGCCTCGGACATCAGAGGGCAGCACATTAAAGACAATACCCTGCAGGATGAGGAGCTGGCGAGGACTGCCAGCCAGCGAGAGACTGAACGAACACGCGGACTTCTCGAGCTGCGGACGCCGCGTCGGACGCGCACCCACCTGCAGCTTGCGCGCACTGTACCGCTTGCTCATCTGCTCCTCCAGCTTCATGCTGTAGAGCTTGGCGCGGAGCACTGTCATGGCCTTCTCCTTGTTTTTCAGCTGAGACCTCTCTTGCTGGCACTCAGAAACCACACCTGAATTTTACACCAAAGGGGGCAATCAACCCAAGTATTTTTGCTGTACTATGAAGAAAGAGCTGGATCAGATCCCTCAATCAATTAACTACTAACAACCAAATGGGCCACACGGTCCTCTTTTTCTGTCCCCTTTCTCGTTGTACCCTGCAGGACCATCGCAGTAAATTTTACTTCTGCATCTGTAACTCCCGAGTTAAAACTGGAGGCCGCTTTTAATAATATTAGATGCCGAATGTTGGAAATGTGTCATACAAACATGGCAATGCAGGTGCTTACTTGATTCTGCTTTCATTTGTAGGTTACTGCCTTAATTACAAGATAAACAGCTCTTGATTTCACCTCAGTCTTGATATGAGGAGGAGCTGCACCCATTATTTGAGTATTTGAATAACCAACTAATTTGAGCCTTTGTAGCAGAAGAGATGTCTGAAAGCACCTTGTGGACTGGACACCTCGTCTTGTGTTTTTGTATAAGCCAGTGTCAATCAATTGCTTATTTGCTATAGTGACATTTGCAACAGATACAGCAGTGGCCAGTAATGTAGAAGCCACACTGAAGTCGACGTCCTGCAGAAATAGTGGCTTACTTGTCCAATAATGGGCCCCTAATTCAACTGTCCTCACGTGTTCTCCCTATCTGCCATGCGGTGCGCCTGTCATCCGTTCCCGCGGAGGATGAAGTGGGTTCTCTCCCGTACGTGGAGAGCTTTGGGGGCTCCTTTGGGATGGAAAGGGCCAGACAAACGCAGGGAAGCCCCCTCACCTGTCGGGAGGTGTACAATCCGCACAGCGCTGTCCGTCGTGTTGACATGCTGGCCTCCGGCTCCACTGGCTCGCTTCGTCTCGATCCGCAGGTCCTTCGCATTAATCGTGAAATTAATCTGCGGCAAGGAAGACAAAACAACAAACAGAGATTGAGGTTCTTGGGGGGGAAAAAACTGACCCCACCTCGATGTGCACAAAATGTTGGGCATATTCAAGAATTGTATAATACGGTTGATGCACGTTCGGCTTTTAACAGGAACAAACAGACCAGGCATTCTCTAATTTTTTCTGTCTTGCAGAATCCTATTCAGGAAATCACAAAGGACCTACAATTTCAGCATACAGTAAAAATCGAATTATGGTAAATCTACTGTTAATACTTACAGTATTAAACAACGAAAAGTCTGGTGTGACAGTGCAGATCTTACGTAGCACTTGATTTAAGGGTTAAAGGTTTTCCCTTTGTTTCTGAAGATCTTCTGGTCTCTGGGGACCCAAAGATGTGTTCACACCTGTCTGCGATACAGGCTCTTGCATGCCAGACACCTGCAAGCCTGCAGTGACATTAGTGAAAGCTGCCCCCATCCACAGCAGGAAAGGGGCACGAGACTGCCCACTTTTAACAGAACAGTCCACCTGTAAAGGTAAGGTTTACCATTCAAACAATGGCGCAGACCGCAAAACACCAATCTCTTCCAAATGTCTGGCAAGGAGAACACAGGGCTGCGGCCTCAGGGTCCACCTGCTGCAGGTAGACGGCA